ATAAAGATAAAGAATAATTGATTTTCGTAATATGGCAAACTATAACATCCCTTCAAAATTCACATGTAAAAAAAGTTCTTAAATTAAAGCATTTTTTTTTCTTGCATTACCGTCATTAAATTTAATTTAAAACTAAATTGAGCATATAGTTATGTACTAATCGAACGTTCAATGACATTATATAGATAATTCTACATACCATATCCATACGATTTCCAATAAAACCTCGAGAAGAAAATTATCAGCATAAGTTTCATGGTGACGCAAAAATACCTGGGCCACACAAGAAGGAAGTTGATATTACTTTCAAAATAAATATGCTGAAGGCCATCTTGAAACAAAACAATTATTTGTTTTCTTACGACCAGTTGGTAAAAAAATTACCCGGTTCATTTTTTTTTTGTCGGCTAGGAAACCTTTTTTTTCCATTTTATCCCTTAGTCTTATCATTCCGTCAACAAATATGTTTTAATATATTTTTAAATTACTTACCGACCCATTGTTTTTGTTCTGCATAGATGGAAGACGACAAACATTTTTTTGAAGGTGGCGTTTCCTTTTCAAAACGGCTGATGTGTTTTTTAGTAATCACAATTCAATAAGAAAGGCTAACTTTAAATGCCCTGTAAATTTCTTAAATACCAATACTGTTCAGTTTCTGTGACAATGTCATATTTACATGAATCACTAGGTCAGTTGGTGAAAATGTATCTATTGAACTTGATGTAATTTTTTCCCTAGACAGTGCATTAAGGCTTCTTAAAATTGTTCATTTCTTAATATTCTTTCAGTTTAATGTTAAAGTATATTTTTCTATATTTCACAAAATCTGATGCAAAATATGCTATTACATAAGACAAAAGCTTTTTTTACAAACCATAGAACATATTTTTTCGAGCGAAGGCTGTGTTAATATTTAAATTCTTTGATGAAGTAGTCAAATAAGCCTATTTTCTTAAATATTTAATAAAATTGGTTTTCCCGAATTCTGTTTTCCTATGCTTAAATTATCCAAAAACAAATTATACACTATGAGAGCAGTGAGTCTCTTCTTTATTTTGATATTATTAAAATAATCAGAGCGTGATTGTCAACTAATTGGAAAAATGAGAGGGCCTTGTTATGCATTAAGGGATCCTATCTCTTTGCTTAGAGAATACCAAAGGACAAGATAAAGCTTCATCATTATTGTGTTTTATGTGTGTTTGCGTAAAAATCAAACCTTTTTGAAGTCAGTATTATTTTGTATAAATGAAGCTCGTTTTTCACAAAAAAAAAAAAATGCTGAAATAGTGCCGACTTGTCGTTAAACAATCATAGTCAATTAATCTTCATTACTTAAATATTGTAAATTATTACTGAAGGAAAATGCTAACATGTTTGTAACCTTTAATCTGTATTGACATTCTTTATTCTTACGCTCGTAAAAAAGGCTTATTATAAGACATATTTTATAGACAAACTTTTTAATATTTAAAATATTTCCTGTAGATCTTTGCTTTGCTCCATTTATTTCCTTCTAATTATAAATTTAGTGAAGTTTTTCTTATAACATTGACAAAACTTAATACACTTATCCAGTAAAAATCAATAACTGTATATAGTTGTCCAATGACCGAAAGTGGGAAATATTTTAAAAGACTAGATTTATTTTAAGATCTACATGTATTTCCCTAGGGTTTCAATAAGGTGGACATCAAGGATAAGGTACACAATCTGTGTCACTCAGAGTATTTTCAATATAGCATTGCATACTTCAATATGCATTACACTGTAATATTATTATAATTATCAGGTAGTATGTTTTCAATGTAACAATAATATTTTTAATACAGAAAACCATCACATACATGTTTATACATGCATAGAATGTTTGAGTTTTTGTTTGGTTAAACATTCTTTATTCAAAACATTGCACTTATTATGCCCCCGTAAACGAAATTTCGGGGGGGGGGGGGGTAATTTTTATCGTGTCCGTCCATCTGTCTAGCTGTATGTCTCTCTGTCTGTTCGTCCGCAAAAACTTTAACCTTGCCCAAAATTTATGGCGTTATGACTTTCATATTTAACATGTGCATTTCGTGTTAAAAGACCTTTCTTTTGTCACCATCAAATTTAACCTTTTGACCTTGACCTTGGAATTTGACCCACTTTTACACAAGAATTCAAAACATTTACTTTGACCATATCTTTGAAACGTTAGATACCAGGACTTTCATACTTAATGTATATATCTTTTGTGCCAAGACCTTTCATTGAAAACCAACAACTTTGATCTTGACCTTGGAGATCTCCATACTTATGAAAAAATTTAACATTGGCCATGACTTTTGAACCGTATGGAGCTAGGGCTTTCATGCACTACACTGTAAAAAAATAACTAGTTAAAGTCACGAAGAAAACTAGTAAATTTACTGTCCATACAATCACTACCTTAAAAGTAGTTTTACCAGATATTGGTATATTTACTAGATAAGATTAGTAAATTTAGAATTGATATAAGTAACTTTCACTAGGTATCTAAGTATCTATACGACCCCCGCTCCACAACTCACTATCTTAAACAGTAAAATGAAAGTTTACTAATCACGACTGACGCTTTACGAGGCACACTAGTTAAATTCACTAGGTTTTTCTTTCAGTGTACATATGTTATCCTTGTGAGAAGACCTTTTATTGGATACCACGAATTTTGACCTTGAACTTGGAGTTTGAAGTTTTAAATGGTAGATACAAGGAATTTCAAATATCATTTCTTTCTGCCAAGACCTTTCATTTGAAAACAACAATTTTGACCTTGACCTTGGAGATTTCCGTGCTTACAAAACAACTTGATCCTTTGCCTTAGTTTTTAAACAATAAGGGCTAGGGCTTTCATATTTCACAAATGTAATTATTGTGAGAAGACCTTTCATTGAATATCAACAACTTTGACCCTTTCACCTTGACCTTGAAGTTCGACCTACTTTTTAGAAACTATAACCTTTGCCATAACTTTTGAACGGTAAGGGTCAGCACTAAAAAATACTTCACATATTTAATCTTTGAGAATAGGCCTTTCTTTAGACCCTTTGACCTTAACCCCGGAGTTTGTTCAACCTTTAAAAACGTTTACCTTGGTCATAACCTTTGAACAAGTGTTGCTAGTTTTTTATATTTTACATTTGTATTTCTTGTGAAAAGGTACATGTACCGACATATTTGATCTGCATTTAAAATAAAGCTTAACCTTCGCTATGTTGCTATACGGGGGGCATCAGTGTTTTACAAACACGTCCTGTTTTTTATGTTGTACGTTTGGTTTAATTCGAAAATTCTTACATTTAGAAACCTGTCAATAGCATTCTGTTGAGAATTAATAATGCAGCTCCAGAGCAGAATCTTAATCTTGTTGACTTTTTGACAACAGAATATAATGACTGACTGCAGAAAAATATCTACAAGAAATTGATTTATCAACCTAATACATCTTAAATAGCAAATTGTACTTGATCGTTAAATCTTTATTATGTTCAGCAACTCAGCTTAACAACGAACAAGCTACATGTAATTCAAAAATTTGTCGTTTCCCGCTTTCGATGTCTTTTTGGGAGATGTCATTTTTATGAGAGATTGAGTCAAATTTTAACGCTCTATCACATGTCATTTAGAAATTATCACCGAAGTTGGATTATTTTTAAAATAAGGTCAATCGTTAAGGTCAGAATTCATAGCATGCCCGAAAATATCTTGTCAAAGGTATACATTTGTCGAATATGAAAGTCCTATCTCTTCTTAATCAAAAGTTATAAGGAAAATTAACAATTTACAAAAGTAGGTCAAACTGCAAGGTCAAGGTCACATGATAAAAAAAACATAGTGTATTTAGAAAGGTCTTGTCACAGGAATACACAGGTTGAATACAAAAGCACTACATGTATCTCTTCTCATTCAGAATTTATGACCAAGGTTAAAGTTTATGAAAAAGCAAGTAAAACGTCAAGGTCACGAGATCAAAAATCATAGTGTTGTTAAAAAGGTATTATACATTCTAATATGACAACCCTATTTCTTCTCATTCAAACGTCATGTCCATCTCAAAGTAATGTTTAATTTTTTTTTAGAAGGTCAAACTTGAAGGTCTATGATGCCTTTGCTGCGTCAAAAATCTTAGTGTATTCAGAAAGGTCTTGTCACAGTTAATGTACATGTGTTTTTGTTCAAAAGATATGACCAAGGTTTTTGAAACGTAGGTCAAACTTCAAGGTCAAGGTAACGAGGTCACAAATCATAGTGTATCAAGTCTTCTCACAGGTAGTACATATCTCTAATATTAAAGCCCTCTCTGTTATCAATCAAAAGGTATGGCAAATATTAAAGTTTTTGCATAAGTATGGAAATCTCCAAGGTCAAAGTGAAAAGGTCAAGGTTGTTGGTATCCAATAAATGGTCTTGCCATAGAGAATACATATGTGAAATATGAAAGTCCTAGAATATACCGTGCAAAAGTTATGACCAAAGTTAAAATTTAGATTATTTTGTGTAAAAGTGAGTCACCCAAAGAAAGACCGTGTCAAAAGAAATTCAAAAGTGAAATATGAAAGTCATAACTCCACTAAATCAAAAGTTATGGGCAAGGTTAAAATTTTTGTGACGGACGGACAGAAAATTAGATTTACTTTCGCGAAGGCAGGGGGACAATAAGAACGCTAAATGATATGCTTCATTGTACACCTTATGTACACCATTGGCACATTACAATAAAGAGCTTGTTCCTGTCATCAATCATACAAGCAGAGAATAGAAAGTTATTTAATGTTTTTGGACAATTTTTGGACAACTTTCCTGTTAACATTGAATATAATATTTTATCTAGGTAAAATGCATTTTGTCACAAAATAAAGCAGATAAAAAATAAAACAATGTTATTATATGTTTTATTTGTTTTAATGATCTTGTAAAAAAGAATCCAACTCAAGAGCTAAGGACAGCGATGTTGTGGTAGTATGACAGAATAGATGCTAAATGAAAAATACATTAGCTGCTAACTTATAAAAGTTTAAATAGACCCAACAATTGAAAGCACTATCAGAATCAACAAGGAGCTTTATAAAAAAAAAAACTCAATTATAATACATACATACATGTACATACATGCAAAGCATTGAAAAACACGATTGAGATATAACAAGTATCTAATTCATGTGTTTAATAACCTCAATTTTCGAATGTTTATTTTCCTTTTTTCTAAAAGTATAAATGAAATCCAATGATGCTGAAGCGTGATAAAAATGTTTTTAATTTGTTTCTAGTTTCATAATAACATAACTTTCATTATCCTTGGGGACACGTAACTCTTGGTAAGTGTGTGAATCATTTTTAGGTGATTCAATAGAAACATAGTTCCCTTCGTCATTGGAGGAATGCAGTGCTTGGTAGTTATGCGAATCATCCTTCGATGTTTGTAATGTTTCGATCGTTGTCTGTAACGTTTCTGTGGTGGAAACATACGTCTGGGAGTGTCTTCTCCTGCTTATGCAGTTTCGAAAAATTCCTCTTCTGCGACAAAAATTTTAGAAATATAATTAAAACCATTTAATGGTCTGAAAGATAATAAATAGATATACTGAATATTCGACAAGTGCTCTTAAAAATCGTTACGGTTTAACATTTTGTAAGAGAAAAGATGTCGATATTGTTGATAAATGCAAAATCCTAGCTCATTCCTTAATGCATTTAAATGAAAAATTGACATCAATATGATTCATAAAATCTTAAGAATACAAAAAAAGTATAATACCGTATTAATAAAACTGTAACTGTTAAAAGGATGAGAAAAGAGGCACATGCTCCAAAAATCCCGCCAAAAACAAGTGGTTTTGAAGGCATACTTTTATAACGGAGGGTCAGCGTAAAAAGAGTACCTTTTCCTTGACAAAAAATTATCTTGTGGTCAGATTTTTAATAAACTCAGTTGTGAATAATAATTTTATAAAAACTCAGATTTGAACATGTTCTTATGCTTTTAAATCTCATGGTTTTCAGCATTTAAATGAAATGATTCCGGTAATTGACTCACTTTTGTTACACATTTTACCAATATATGGCTTTTTACATCCTTCTGAACAACTTCCATTAAATCTATCACAGTTGCCTTTAGCACAATTTGAACTACAGGGATGAACACAATTTTCCCCATGCATTTTTTGAGGACATTCTGAAATGGTTACAGTTATTATTAAAAACAAACATAAATCTACACAACCTGATAATGCTTAATTATAAAAAAATGATCAACAATGCAATTTGTATTCATTTTTTTAAATATGATATTCCCATAAAATTTTGAATCCTCTTTTTGACCCCACCCACCTCTCTTGGTATCATTATTTAACTAAATCTAACTTAAATCTACACTTCACTATAGAGATTTCTTTTTTTCCTCAGCGGCTTTAAAAAAATATAGAAATATGATATAACTAGCTGCAATAATGTAGCCCTGTCCGATTTTTTTAATTTGGTGTTTTCTGGAGAGGGCTATGTACAATTTCATAGCATCTCCGTAATGCTGCAAATATTTTTTTAAATAGGGGCTACTGCAGACAAAATAAATTTTTACATTCAACTTGCTTCTAATAAGCATAAGGAGTTGCAATGTAGCTCTCTCTCTCTCCCCCCCCCCCAAAAAAAAAGAAAAAAAAGGGGGAGGGGGCTACATTATTGCAGCTAGATATAACTTCCTATACTTTTGATTCCCCCTTGAAGCGACCAACCTGCAGAACTGTAGCTCTTCGATAAAATATATTGACAGACCGTATACAAACCAATTCCGTCAGACCAGCGAGCTACAGATCTGCATCTATATAGCGATCGAGAATTTCCTTTTCCAAAGTCTGCCTCCATGAAAAAATACAATGTAGTTTGTAACTGCATGACCACGTGATTTGTTTTTTCATTGAAAGTTGGGGATATTATTTTCGGTGTGTCAGTCGGTCTGTATTTCTCTTTGTAACACTTCTGCTTCGCTGGATATCTCCAGAAGCCTTAGAGCTTTTGCATTCATTTACAAGTTCACATAACAACACCTTATGAACTAAGGAATACCTAATATATTGATTTTGACTTCAAAAGGTCAAAGGTTAAGATAATAAATTTAGAAAATATATTATGTGTATAAATGTAATTTCCTACTGATATCTCAAACAGCTTTTGAGTTTTTACAATGACGTTTCATACCATAACTCTTTGTGGCTCCGCTCAGCCTTCTTAAAAGTGTCCCCCTCCCCTCAATTACTTAATTACTCAACTGATTGAATGCTCTCCTTTTCTTCTTTAAGCAGGGGAAACAGAATCTCTTAATAAGCTTGGTTAAAAGAAGCCAACAAAACAAGAAATCCTTGTAGATGGAAATGTGTTAATATGAACATATAAATCTAGCTACCTTTACTACACATCTCTCCCATCCATCCTGAGGCGCATCCATCAACACATCTGTCCAACTCGTGATGACACAAACCGTTTTTACAATGTCCAACACATTTGTACATACCAACCAAAAGGGCACGCTGTGTGTTTAAAAGTTTTTAAAATATAACAATTCGATTGAAATAGAAAAAAAAATCTGTCTTATTTTTCAGAGACGAAAAAAAGAACATGCATGTGATAATTTTACTTTTTCAAACTAACATAAAATTAGAACAAAAACTAGAGGTACCATGAGCAGTGAGCTCACCCCGCCTCCTATATTAATATAATGGCAGTGTCAATGTTTTGCTATGGGAAACCCAAAATACCGTATAAGTAGAATTTTTAGCGAGGATTTAATTTTGGCATTATTAGCGAGGGCGCCGAGACCGCTAAAATTGAATATCGCTAAAAATTAATTATGTTTCATTTGTAAAAGCTTCTTTAATGTGCATTTTAAAATCGCTAAAATAACATCTCGCTAAAAATAAATTATCAGTTTTTAAGGACAAATCGCGAAATTTGCGTCTCGCTAAAATTTCCACTTATACGGTATATGTCGAATAGGAGGTGCATAATGGCAAGGTGAAATAAGGATTCTGTGAAAGTCTCATATAATTTCATTCATTGGTATGAGAGAAGTTGCTGAAAAGAGATGGGTACCCCAAAGCGTAACAGACGGACGGGCGGACGGACATCCCGATTATTATATACCCTCCTCCTATCCAAGCGAAGGGGGTATAATCAAGCTAGTCTGTTCGAAAAGGTCACAAAAACATTTTGTACTTAGTTTGCTCTCTCGAAAAAAAAAAGTCACATTAACTGCGACTTAAACGGTAACGGATTTTCTCTTACACATAATGATCACACATGTCTCCCGTCCATCCTGGCCTACATTCCAGACAACTACCGTTAACTCTGTTGCATCTTTGATCTTGACAGTTGAGAGGGCATGGTATGTCACAATTAACTCCATAAACTTCCTTTTTGTCACAACCTGATAGTACGATTCTCAGTTAACCTTGGACTACTTTCACGACGTAATTAAGGTCATTGGTTAAGAAATTAATAATATCAGCAAATTTGTTGACGATGGGAGGACTTAAGCCCCACGTCTCTTCCGTGCGAAATCTTGTGATTGGATAATTGACACATTCGTTGATACATGTATTTGCCGGAATGTATATTTCAACAGTGAATGAAAGGCTGTGTAAATTTCAAACGCTAATTATGTAACGTCGATTATTTCCTATTTAGCTTGTAACACGAGCTTTGATTGGTTACAAAATTGGGTGTAAATATCCGTGTACCCAACTTGAGCCGTGTAATGTTTATCACTCCATTCATAGGTTCGTTCACACACACAACATTAAGTTACTGACTATGATTTATTCAGTCTACAAACATCATGGCTACTGGCCAAAACAATAACGGAAAGCATGCGTTAGATCTAAATGATGAACCAATATAATACAGACTCCGGATTTCCGGTATATAATGGACATAACACTTTTCCCCTCTTAACAGAAATCTGAGATTGCAAAATTATCAATCATTCAAAAATAATCAATTACAGTCTTTCAAACTCTAAAACAAATCAGATACATGTACAATATATCATATTTAACACTGTTCAATCAGTCTCTGCGGCCTTCGATGTTCTCGTCGTGGATATCGCGGTTGAGTGTGATTGGTATCCTCAGCAACAACGGATGGTGTGGAATCGTGGATTATTTCTGATTCAATAGGCTTTGACACCGAATCCTGAGAAGTCGGAACACAAGTTGACTTGACGGTAGACGGTTTCTCTGGCGGTTCCACTCGACTCTCAAATGGTACACTAACAGGCACAATACTGGAAAACGAATTCTGTTTCACTGGTTCGGAGTTGTTTAACGCGCACTGAACATCCAATTCACGAATCTGGTCGATATGTCGTTTCCACTGCATACCTCTGACATTTACACGGTATGTGACAGGTCCAAGTTTACGTGTAATTATCCCGTCGATCCACGATACTTTTCCACCACGGTAATCACGTATCATTACTCTTTCACCAGTCTGAAATATTCTAGTCTTCTTAGCAACAGCTGGCGCAGATTTTCTCTGAATTCGATCTGTGAGCTGTGGTTTCACAACATCTATTCTTGTTCGTAATTTTCGGTTAAGAAATAACTCCCCTGGTGTTTTATTTGTCGTCGTATGGGGTGTTGTACGATATGATAACAAAAATGCTGCAAGTTTCTGATTTAGCGTTCCGGTCTCGCTTGCCATATTCTTCATTGATTGTTTGAATGTACGCACCGCCCTCTCTGCCTCTCCATTCGATGCAGGATGGTACGGCGCAGATCTGATGTGCCGCACTCCATTCTCCCTCAGAAAAGTTTCAAATTCCTCGGACACAAACTGCGGTCCATTGTCTGACACAATCTCTACTGGTAGTCCATATGAGGAGAATAGATATCGCAATGCATTAATAGTACTCTCAGAAGTAGTAGAATTCATCATCACTACATCCATCCATTTGGAATATGCATCCACGATTATCAAAAACATACGCTGCATAAACGGTCCTGCAAAGTCGATATGCACTCGTTTCCAGGGTGCGCTCGGCCATATCCATGGATTCGCTGGAGCTTTAGGTAAGTTTGGTAACTGCATCCTACACGGTCCACACTGTGAGACTTTGGTCTCAATGTCTGGGTCCAATCCAGGCCACCATACATGAAGTCTGGCTAATGATTTCATCCGGACCATTCCTGGATGAGCCACATGTAACTCCTCAAGTACATCTTGTCGATACTTTTCAGGGATGACAACTCTGATCCCTCTCAGCAAACATCCATCTTCAATGGTTAACTCACTGCGTACTCTAAAGTATGGTAATAAGTTTATGTCAGGTTGTGAACTTGGCCAACCATTTCTTGTAAACTCAATGACACGAGACAAGACAACATCATTCTTTGTTGCAGCGGCAACTTTATCTGCAGTCACAGGTAAGTTTTTGATCTGTATCTTGTGTATTAGTTCTGTCTCTTTGTCAAGTTGTGTCCTTGAATCATCCATCAGATTCATCGGAAATCGTGATAGAGTATCCGAATTTTGGTGTTTTCCAGTTGCTCTGTATTTAATGTCAAACTGGTAAGAAGCTAGTTGCAATGCCCAACGCTGTAGTCGAGAAGCGGTCAAGACAGGAATGCCTTTCTTTGGTCCAAATATGGTAGTTAATGGTTTATGGTCGGTGATAAGGGTGAACTTCCGTCCATACAAATAGGAATGCAATTTGGTCACTCCAAAGATTATCGCAAGGGCTTCCTTTTCGATTTGCGAATAATTCTTCTCAGCAGCAGTTAAGGTTCGAGAAGCATACGCAATGGGTTTTTCATTTGCAAGGTCGGTATGGGAGATCACGGCACCGAGTCCATATCCAGAAGCGTCAACAGCTAACTCCAGTGGTTTGTGAGGGTTATAATGAGCCATAACTTGAGAAGAAACTAGCAGATCCTTGATCTTTGCACAAGCTTCAGAACATTCTTGGGTCCAGTTCCAGGTAACATCTTGAGCTAACAGATGTGTGAGTGGTCCACTTAGTGTTGACATGTTTGGTACAAATTTCCGATAGTAGTTCACTATTCCTAACCATGTCTGAAGTTCCTTCTTGGACTTTGGATCCTCCATGTTCCTGATTGCCTCGAGTTTCTTTGGTGAAGGCTTAATCCCCTCCTTGCTCACAATAAAAGCAAAGTACTCAACTTGGTCTTGCATGAACTGACACTTTGACTTTTGACTTTTCACACCATAATTGTCTAATCGTTGAAGTGTAGTTTCCAGAATCTGTTTGTGTTCACTGTCGTTAACACCGGTAACAAGTATATCATCAAGTATGTATCCAACCTTGTCCAGACCTTGAAGAATGGTATCCATGGTACGCTGAAAAATAGCTGGGGCTGACGCAATACCAAAAGGTAAGCGAGTATACCGATACAATCCTTGATGAGTATTAATAGTCACATACTTTCTGGACTCCTTATCCAATACTACTAGGTTATAAGCTTGAGACAGATCTAGCTTAGAAAACTTTTCTCCACCATTGAGTTTGGTAAATAATTCTTCGCTTGTTGGGAAAGGGTACTCTGGGATAGCCAGGTAAGGATTCAGGGTAACTTTAAAGCCACCACAAATGCGTACTGACCCATCAGCCTTCATTGCGGGTACTATTGGAGCAGCCCAGTCCGAACACTCTACTTTCTCCAAGATACCAGTCCCCTCAAGTCTATCTAATTCCTTGGAAATTTTATCGCGCAATGCAAATGGTACTGGTCGCGGCTTGAAGAATTTTGGTTCCACGTCGTCCTTGACCTTTAAGGAAGCTGTAACTCCTTTAATGCATCCGAGTTTGTTGTCGAACACAGAATACTTTTTCAAGTCACCAGCCATAAAATGGATTGAATGCCAGTCAAGTTTTATAAATTCCATCCAATTCCTACCAAACAATGCTGGTCCATTTCCTTTCACAACAACAACAGGTAAAGTTTTCATCTGTGTTTGATATTTCACTTTCACTTCACCCAACACTCCTAACATTTCACCTGAATATGTCTTCAGAATAGCCTCACTAGGACACAATGTCACTTTGTTCTGTAAGTGAGTGTGGTACAACTGTTCTGATATCACTGAAATAGAGGCACCAGTGTCCAAGTCCATTTCAATAGGTACATCTTCCAGTGTTACCGAAATCTTCATTGCTTTGACTCCTCTGTTTTCCCCTGACAGTGAGAAAATAGGCCAATGTTCATTTTCATTGTCGTCATCTGAACAGTCCTGGTTTTCCGTCACAAAATTTAACTTGGACTTCTTCTTTTGTTTCTTATGCTGCACTGATTTCTTTTTCGAGCACATTTTATGTATATATATATGTCCCGTTTCCTGACATGTGTGACATTTACTGTTCTTGTAAAAGCACTTATCGGGTGTGTGATTAGTCTTCCCGCACCTGTAGCAAGGTTAACTCTTTACGACACTGACTTTGTGTACGGTTTCATGTCCGTGAGCATCCTTAGCATCAGCCTTTAGTTTGCGGGCTTCGTTCTCAGCGAGTTCCATAGAAATTGTTATGTCCACGGCTCTCTTTAACTCTAATTTGTCCTCAGCTAATAATTTCCGCTGGGTTGCCACTGATGAAAGACCACACACTAAACGATCACGTAAAGCTTGATTCAAAAACTCACCAAAATCACAATGTTCACTAAGCTTTCTAAGTTCAGCAATATACTGACTAACAGTTTCCTGTTTTCCCTGATTTCTCTGGTAAAATCGAAATCGCTCCGCAATCGCTAGTGGTTTTGGTTTCAAGTGTTGCGCTATCAAAGTTTTCAATTCTGCATAGGTTTTATCAGATGGCTTTTCCGGGGACGTTAAATTACGAATAAGTCCGTACATCTTCTGACCACATACTGTCAATAATATGGACTTCTTTTTGTCATTATCGTAGTTAAAAAATGTTCTAACCTTTCAATGTATTCGTCCCAGTTCATGTCGAACTCGTAATTCTCTATTTTTCCGTAGACAGCCATAGTACCTGTATTTGCGGTTGTGGTGTTGTATATCTCGTCGCCAATTGTAATGTTTATCACTCCATTCATAGGTTCGTTCACACACACAACATTAAGTTACTGACTATGATTTATTCAGTCTACAAACATCATGGCTACTGGCCAAAACAATAACGGAAAGCATGCGTTAGATCTAAATGATGAACCAATATAATACAGACTCCGGATTTCCGGTATAATGGACATAACAAGCCGGGTGTAAATAAAACGTGACGTCACAATGCATACCTTCTCTATGATAACAACCAAATAACATGACATCACGATACATAGTATTTCGATACATATGTTAAGCATAACTTACACATCACGATACATAGTTATCTATAATCGATAGATCAGATTGAGTCACACTCTGATGTTTACAAAGCATTTTAAGAATTTATAGGTACAAAGGAAATAAATTCGTTATCCAGGTCCAGTCAAGGGTGTACCTGTAGGGATTTACCCCGGGTTGCAATTCATACACCCTTCGTCCTCATGCAGGGTGTATGGAATAAAACCCGTAATGAGAATTGTTCAAAAAAAATATTCCGTGTAATGAAATGCTTAATTGTTCATTTAAACAACATACACACCTTATTAAAACAACGTGACAAATTGAGATGAAGAGACTTCTACCAGTTATTTTTTTAAATAAATGCACATGAAGAGCCGTGCACATGACAAAGAACAGTTGCAACCTTTTTTTATCTCATACGTGTTGGGGGTACCGCCCATTAGATAAACCTGTGCTTTATCCACGGGTAGATGCTTTATCAAAGGCACTTCCGGTTTTGACATGATCTCTTGCTTCAATATTTTATTTTATTGAAACTTTTATTTGAGAAAATTATTGCCCTAATAAAATGAATGATAAAGAGCGATAATATTGTTAACAGCAATAAAAAGATTCGTATATGTCAAAGAAGTGTCTTTTTTTTTATCAAGGAACCTATATTGGCTACTTGAAGACAGATGTTACCCCCCACCCCCCACCCCCCCCCCCCTTAAATCGTTTTCGGAGAAAGTAAAGCCTAGCAGTTAAGTTGTTGTTATATAAAGATTCCTTCAACATCTTCAATAATGCTTTCTTATATTATACTACATATGCCTACCAAATAATATAGGTGTAACTTACCATGGATCAACAATGAATCTACAAGTAGGCCCCTAGCCTTGCCTAACACATTTTGCAATGCCATCGTCCAAAGAGTTCATTTTCACATTCCCACGGTCCTTCCAACTTTTATTCAGAAATTCGTGTGATGTAAAGCTCCAGCAATTGTCATATAATGCTTTCAAAGACGCAGATAGCAAAAATTTAAAATTTTGAACACGATCTACTTTTTTTCGAGGCATGTCAACACCAACAATGCTACGTCAGCAAGTTATACGTCATCAATTTGAATTAGCAATCATTTATCTAGTTTCGCAGGGGAAGTCTCAAAGTTTTGTTAAAACGAAAGTCGAAGTCGTGTGAGTTAAATAGAACAATTGTAATTGTGTGATTTAATATTGGCTTTATCCAACTCGTTGAAATGGTGTATATTCGCTCGGCAAGCCTCGCGAATATATACACCATTTCAACTCGTTGGATAAAGCCAATATCAAATCACACAATATAGATATCTTCTATTTATTGCCTTTAAGTAGATCAATTGCGGCCTAGATTCAAACTCTCAACCTCCAGTGACGGAACTAGTGCTCTAGCGACTTAGCTACTGTGAACAGCTTGAGTGAATTGAAGAAAGTCGTAAACTGAAGTTTACTGGGTTTTTATTTTAATCTAAGATATCAATTAGATTATATTGATGTGTTTTTGATACGAATATGGATTTAAAAACTCTTACAAAAACCAAATAATATTAAAATAACACACAACTTGAAAGCAAGCTTTTTAATAATGTATTATTCTTTTGTTTACGTTAAGTTGATAAGGTGACGCTTAAAAAGTAATATAAAGACAGTCAAATAATTCCTTCGATAAAATATTTAATCGGCTTTTAGTATAAATAAAGTTTGAAATGTACACAACAATTAATTAATTAAAAAAATGATATTGAAGGTCAGTGTACCTTACCATATGCATTCATAAATCCGGATATCAATGAAAGTACATTGATAATAATGTTTGCAGAGGAATCCATACTTCCTACAGTCCTTGCTTCAAAGGAAATAAGGAAATCAACGAAATAATTATTCATTTATTTCAAATTCAAAAAAAATTATGTAAATAAGTCAATTGCGTAATGTTTATAATGACATGCAGTTACAGGGAATTATTTCAAGTCCTTGCATAGGCTATCAGGATCAAATTTTCTACCTCTTAAAGGTACTAGTAATTACAAAATCGAAAGAGCACTTTCAATATTAGAACACATTATTGAATGCAGATACTCTAGTAGGCAGTGATGCCGTAATAAATATATATACACGTAATACAGAAATTCAAAAGTATGGCTGGTTAGAGATGAACTACAAAACGAAATAAAACTGCACAGTGGTAGAAGGTGTATCGTAATGTAACAACGGTGGAGAACCAGGCCTAAGAAATTTTATTATGCGGCCGAATCGAAAGATCCGAGGCGTATACTGTTTTTGTCCTGTCTGTCTGTCTGTTTTTCTGCAAACTTTAACCTTCGCCATTACTTTTGAACCATGAATGAAAGAAACTTCATATTTGGTATGCCAATTTCATTAATTAAGCTCTTTCAAATCACACCAAGGTCAATGACCTTGTAACCTTGACTGTGACCTCTATGCTAAAATAGTATTTTTTGCAAACTTTAACCTTAAAGTTTTGAATCATAAAAGATAGAGAACTCATATTTGGTATGCATACATCACTAATTTAGCTCTTTTAAATGACACCATGGCGAATGACTTTGTGACCTTGACTGTGACCTACATGTATACGCTAATTATATCTTTTTTGTCGGTAAACTTTAAACTCCGCCATAACTTTTGAACGAAGAAAAAGAAAGAGAATTAAAATTTGGCATGCATACTCCACTAATTAAGCCCTTTCCCATGACACCAAGGTCAATGACCTTGACTGTGTCCTTTATGCTAAAAATAGCTTTTTTGAACCTTCAACATAACTTTTGAACCATGAAAGATAGAGACTTCAGATTTGATATGCATTCTTCACTAATCAAGGTCTCTCAGATGACACCAAGATCAATGACTTTGTTACGTTGTTCGTGACCTAAAGGGTGTTAAGAATGTTCAATCCCAATTTTTCTTTCATTTTCGAAAAGAAATACAAAGAGAAGATATTTAAAGTTTGTGATATTTAATGTTCACAGAATCCATTCTTGTTATTGATAAGGTTTGAACTGAGTTTGGTTGAAAGGAAAAGGGGAGGGCAGGTATTAAAACAGATGATGTCTGTGCAGAAAAATCAGGGATGAAGCATATTTGTAAAATATCTGAGGCACATATGTCAGTATATCCTTTCAAATACTTATGTCAGCATATCCTTTCAAATACTTATGCAAAACTCCTCTAGTTGGAATAGAATATATGAATATGACAAACTATTCTTTGGAAAAATTACTATAATCTTTCTTTTACCTAACCTCATCAGTTGTGAATAACAAGAGTAAATAATCCAACATTTTGACGCGAAATGACCAGCATTTTTATCATTTTAGTGTTTTAAAGATGGTTATGTATATTTTCATATTGAAAAAAATCCTGTAATTTCCTGTGAAAATTAATTGCTGTGAATCGAAAGCACAATCTTGTGATTATGCCAGACTGGAAATTTAGTTTTTCTTATCTTTTCAGTAAACAATACTTCAAAATTTTCAAAAATTATTTTTAAACTTTCTTAACACACTTATATGCTAAAAATATGCGGGTTTTTAACTTTGTTGCCGCCGGGCGCATAGTGTTTCACAAACACATCTTGTTAAAATACAGTTTCGTGAATACAGTTTTGTGAAACTATATCCTCTTTGATTGAAATGGTAGTGAATGATTATTGATTGAAAATTAGTTTCATTTTTAAATATGTACATCTTTTACCTAATCTGAAATACAAAAAAAAAATATTGCGGACATATTTATGAACTTGTGTCCATTAAAATCGATTTCTGTAGCTACGACTTCACAATTTTTTCGAAATCAATCATCCTTTGAATATTTGCTCTACGAGATAAGATAAGGTGTATTATGACCTTATTTGTTAAAATACTAAATTAATACCTCATTCTGTAAACAAATTAAAACAAAATTCCTGTTCAGAGTGAGTTACGATATAAGTGGAATTTTTTGCAAGATTCAAGTTTAAGGATTTCTCCTTAGCTAGTAATTATAAAGTAGTATAACCTATCTAATTTCTAATTAGAGTACATGTATATAAACGCATGTGTATTTTCAAGCGAGAACCTGAAAGGTTTGTTTTTCATCTAGTACTACAATGTACGTGAATGCCTAAGAGGAATAGAGCATGCTTTAAAGCAGTATAAAATAGATGAATATAGATCACAAAATGTACAATAAAGTTTTGAAACACGTTAATGTTGATTTCGTTGTATATCTAATAAATAAACATTATGTATAGTTAGGAAAAAAAGATAGATATTTGTAATCATCATTATTTCACAGGTTTAACGTAACATTTTCATAACTTATATTATCATTTAATTCCTGATAGCTTCTCTTTATAGACGGTGTTATTCCTCCTTCGTATTGAGCGTGTGCTGGACATTGGTCATCGGTTAAATCAGCAGTAGTAGAGGTTTGATTTGAGGATTTCCTTAAAAACAAAAGTAAATAAATTAGATTTTCTTTCCGTATTTACTTGTAAAATTTGTTAATGTAAATAAAAAATGCTATTATCGCTCTTGTTGTAAACTAAATAATTGAATATGAAATTTTATAAATAAATCATTTTTACATATTACCTGAAGCGTTTCCAGACAGCTATTAAAACACAACACAAATTCCGTATCACTGACAGAGTGAGAGTCAAGATCCACGGAAGAATAGAACCTATATACATGTAACAAAATATTAATCTTTTTAATGATAATGAATCAATTAGGGATATAGAATCTATTTTGATAAAATCTACTGTAGTTACAAAAAAAGAGCCCAACTATTCTGACATTCTCCTTAAGCCTCATTTTTAACTAATCAAAGGTAAGGTAAGAAGAGGGTAAATATGAAATCGTATTTAAATTTCTCTTTTGAATTTGTTTCGAAATAAATATTTATTTTTACCTTGTTATACAGATATGTATACATTACCTTTCGGTAATGTGCTGTTTCCTGTCACTTTTAAGCAGTTTGTTCCTGTGAAGGGTTCTTGGCATCCTCTTGGACAAGATCCATTGTATCTTTCACAAGTGTCATTAAAACCACAGTGTAAACTACATTCTTCCTTGCAGTTTAGTCCGTAATACCCAGGTTGGCATTCTGAAGTATCAGACCAAAATTGAGGGTAATGCTTTGGTAAGTGATAAAAAAAAAATACTATAGATTAAACCATGATTCATATTAAAAAAAACGTCAATATATTTTACAGACCTCGATTACAATTTATGCCCGTCCATCCAAAGGAACAAATACAAGAGCCATCAGTGTGTTGACATGTGTCGATGCATTTAGGAGAACATTTCTGAGAACACTCTGTACCATAATATCCTTTTTCGCACACTACATAATAATGAAGTAAATAGCGCAGTATAAATCGATGAAAAAAGGGTAACGATATTTAACAATAATCGATCTCATAAAAACCTCAGCTAAAACAAATCTTTGAGCAGGGCATCTCAAAAGGCTAGAAAAGAGCACATATCAGATCAGAACTGAAAGTTTACCGGAGGGGAGGGGCTTGAATTTTAACCCCCAGGGGGTCATGATTTGAACAAACTAGAATCTACAATACCTGAGGATGATTCTCTATGAATATCACTAAGCATGGCTTTGAAGTACTCGAAAAGAAGATTTTAAAAGGTTTCCCTATATGTTCCTATTTAAAACTTTTATCGGCCATTTGGCCCAACCCTACCCCCGGGGGTCATGATTTGAACAAAGTTGAATCTACACTACCTGAGGATGATTCCACATGAGTTTCATCTTTCCTGGCCCATTGGTTCTTGAGAAGAAGATGTTTCCTATATATTCCTATGTAAAACTTTGATCGGCCATTTTGGCCCCAACCTACCCCCAGGGGTCTTGATTTGAACAAATTTGAATTTACACTACCTGAAGATGATTACACATGATTTTCATTTTTCCTGGCCAAGTGGTTCTTGGGGAGAAGATTTTTCCTATATATTCCTATGTAAAACTTTGATCGGCCATTTTGGCCCCAACCTACCCCCAGGGGTCTTGATTTGAACAAATTTGAATTTACACTGCCTGAAGATGATTACACATGATTTTCATCTTTCCTGGCCCAGTGGTTCTTGAGGAGAAGATTTTTAAAGATTTTTCCTACATATTCCTATGTTAAACTTTGATCGCCAATTTTGGCCCCACCCTACCCCCAGGGGTCATGCTTTGAATAAACTTGAATTTACCCTACCTGAAGATGATTCCACATGAGTTTCATCTTTCATGGCTCAATGGTTATTAAGAAGAAGATTTTTCTATATATTCCTATGTAAAACTTTGATCGGTCATTTTGGCCCCACCCTACCCCCGGGGGTCATGATTTGAATAAACTTGTATCTACACTACCTGAGGATGATTCCATATGAGTTTCATCTTTCCTGGCCAAGTGGTTCTTAATAATAATAATATAATAATAACAATAATAATTTATTTAAAGAGGGTAACCCGATTAGTGCAATGCACTAGTCTTCCTCGGGGCCCTCTATACATGGATAGTACAATTATGTATACAATAGTAGAATAATCAGAAAAATTACAAGTATATTACATACGTGAATTACATTTGGGAAAGAAAGGAATATATATACAATGTATTATCAAAACATAGAAACAAGTTACTCATTAGGAAAAAATATGTTGCGTCCATTGATGATAAATTTTTCTACATTTTTACGAAAAGATTGTACAGTTGGGGAAAAACGTACATGTAGAGGTAATTTGTTCCACAAATGAAAGCCTGAATATGGAAAAGAATTTTTAAACATATTTGTTCGATACTTTGGTAGACTAAGGTCATAATTGGATTCAGAACGTAAAATATAATTATTGGAGGAAATAAATTCGAACGAGTCTCTCAGATAATCAGGTGTCATATCTGTTGGATAGTGATGCAGAGCACATGTAACACACAAGATGGCTGAATCCGAACTACTTTATTGAATTATTGCGCAATGTAATTAAGCATCAAATTATAAGCAAAAACCAATTACGTAAGATATTACAAATCCGGAAAAAGATATAACATATCCTCCCTCCTTAATGTCAATGTCTGTAATATCTGCAAATGTCCTGATCAACTTAATCAAATGTAAATCAAAATCAATTAACAATCAAACTTACAATTGACTTACAACATAATTAAAGAATTCAAATTCATGCAATTACAATTATTCACATGGTGAGGATTATTATGCCTCAAAACACAATTAACACAAATAAAGATCACTCGGCAATCAATCGCTTTGTTGGTTTTCGGTCGCGCACAGGGTAACGTCGTTCACAAGATGGTGGTGTCTGTGTAACAATCTGTTTTGGTACGACATGAGGTTTGCCTCCAGTTGAACGATCTGCGCAAGGTATGTTACGATTGGTACTTTGTGTTGCACGACTTGGAATTGTCGGTGTCCCAGGTGAAATGGTATCATTTGTAGGTGGTGCAGCATATATCTCATTCGGAACTACTGACTTAGAATCTAAAGTGTCCGTAACTGTTCTTTCTCTCATGTTTTCTGATGTTCTCCTCATTTGGTCTATGTGCCTACGCCACACTCCTCCTTCCTCGGTTTTGACCTGGTAAGTCAACGGTCCTAGACTGGCTATAACAGTGGCATGAATCCATGGTGTTTGTCCCCTGTAATCTCGTACCATGACGGGTTGTCCAATGGTAAATATGCGCACGCTGGATCCTGTATGTCTTGATAATTTCATGTTGTCCTGCTTCAGATTTACTCTGTCACTGATGTCAGGTTTCAAGAGATCCAGACGTGTCCTTAAGTTTCGTCCGATGAGTAATTTGGCAGGTGTCTCCCCTGTAGTAGCGTGGGGGGTAATGCGATATGTCATTAGGAATGAGTTGATTTCCTTGTTTGTGATTTTATTATGCTTCTTCATGGCAGTTTTGAAACTCCTAACAAAGCGTTCCGCAAGCCCATTCGTACGCGGGTGGTAAGGTGAAGATGTCACATGCTTCACTCCGTTTTGTCGTAGGAAACCCTTGAATTCATCTGCAATGAATTGTGGTCCGTTGTCAGAAACTAATGTCTTAGGTAGTCCAAGACGTGAGAAGATATCTCGTAAAACGTTGACTGTTGCTGTAGATGTTGTTGAAGACATAGGCACAACTTCCGGCCACTTTGAATGAGAGTCAACAACAATGAAGTACATGCGTCCTTTAAAAGGTCCGGCAAAGTCGACATGAATTCTCTCCCATGGTGAATTTGTCCATTCCCAAGGGTGTACAGGAGCAGTCTCGGGGTTTGGTAAGTAATGTTGACAATCTGAACAGCTCTGACACATAGCCTCAATATCAATATCGATGTTTGGCCACCAAACATGAGATCTAGCGAGACTCTTTGTCCTCACAATCCCTGTGTGACTTCTATGAAGTTCAGACAAAACTTCTCTTTGTAGTGTTTTAGGAATGATTACTCTGTTTCCCCAAAGTAGACAATTTTGGTGCACTGTGAGTTCCATATGTCTATTTCTGTAAAGTTTGAATTCGTTTCCCGAGGGAAAGTCCCGTGTACCTTGTAACACAATGTCAAGCACCTGAGATAAAATAGGATCACGTTGAGTCTCTTTTCTCACATGGTCACATGATACAGGTAAGCTTTCAAACTGTGATGAGTAGTAGATTGTGTCGATATCCTCATCTGTGGTATCGGTTATCGATGAAGTCAGCGGAAGTCTGGAAAGTCCGTCAGCGTTTCCATGGTTAGCTGTCTTCCGGTACTCTATGCTGTAATTATGGCTAGATAGGAATATAGCATATCGCTGGAGTCTAGCAGTAGTCATAGCAGGTAGCGATTTTTCTGGGTGAAAAATACTAACGAGCGGCTTATGGTCTGTAATCAGTGTAAACCGGCGCCCATAGAGGTAGGTATGGAATTTTTGTACTCCCCAGTATATACCTAATGCCTCCTTATCTATCTGGGAATATCCCTTCTCTGCCTTTGTCAACGAGCGAGAAGCAAATGCGATGGGACGTTCAGCTCCATCCTCAAAGACATGTGAAAGTACGGCACCAATTCCGTATGGCGATGCATCCGTAGCTAAACGAACAGGTAATGAAGGGTTGTAATGGCACAAAACTTGTTCTGATGTGATAAGTTCTTTCACTTTCACAAATGACTCTTCACATTTGGATGTCCATGTCCACTTCCTGTTGTTCTGTAATAACTCATTTAGCGGTCCAACCACTGTAGCAAGGTTTGGCAGAAACCTATGGTAGTAATTCAACAGGCCCAAGAATGAGCGCAGTTGAGACACATTTTCAGGTTTTGGTGCATTCTTGACAGCATTTATTTTGTCACTGGATTTATGTAAACCATCTTTGTCTATTACATGTCCACAGTAACTTATTTTGTCCTTAAAGAATTCACACTTCTCCAGATTTGCTCTTAGACCGTGTTGTTCAAGTCTCTCGAGCACAAGACTGAGATTCTGTAAGTGTTCTTCATCTGTCGAGCCTGTAATAATCATGTCGTCCAAAATGCATTTAGTTTTTGGAATGTTTGCAAGGACTTGGTCCATGGCTCTTTGCCAGATGGCAGGAGCGGAAGCGATTCCGAAGGGAAGTCGGTTAAAGCGGAAAAGTCCCTTATGTGTGTTAATGGTAAGCAAGTTCTTTGATGCGTCATCCACTTCCATCTGTAAGTACGCCTGCGTTAAGTCAATCTTGCTAAATTTCTGTCCTCCGCTAAGGGACGCAAAAATATCTGCTATCTTTGGTAATGGATATTGTTCGATTTTCAAGGCAGGATTAACTGTCACTTTGTAATCACCGCAAATTCTGACTTTGCCGTTTGCCTTTGGTAGGGGTACTATTGGGGTTGCCCAATCACTAAACTCGATAGGTGAGATGACGCCTTCCTGCTGTAATCTGTTGAGTTCCTCTTCCACCCGAGGTCTGAGGGAATATGCCACTTCTCTGGCCTTGTAAAATTTTGGTCTCACACCATCCTGCATTGTAAGTTTTCCTTTGATGTCCGACAGTTTTCCGATTCCTGGTTCAAACACTTTCTTATGTTTCTCGAGAATTTCCCGAACAGTCATTTTCCCGGAAATGTTCCGTTTGTCACTCGATAATCTAATTGATTTGATTTCCTTCCAATCAAGTCGTAGAAATTTCATCCAGTTTCGTCCCATGAGTGTCGGTCCTTCCTGCTTCACAACAAGTAAGTCCAAAGTTTCACTCTGTCCATTCAAATCGACCTTGACCTGCACTTTACCAACTGGACGGATCTGCTCCCCACTGTAAGTCTTTAAACGAGTATCTGTATCCTCTAGGGTGTATGACTTGAGGAATTTGTCCAACGTAGTCTTAGAGATGATCGACACAGCAGACCCTGTGTCAACTTCCATAGGAATGTCAGATCCTGCAATTTTAGGAGTCACAATGATTGGGTCTATCGAGACTTTGTTTACATCTCTGTAGTAGCTTGAGAAATGCAGCAGATAACCACCATTATCTTCATAGTTGTCGATTCCATACTCATCTGTATCAACGTAATTTAATTTTCCCCCGTTTTCACGCTTCTTCTTCAGACACACTCTCTCCAAATGTCCAACTTTTGAACAATACCTACATTTTGTGTTTGTGTGTTTACAGTCATTTGCTCTGTGTTCCCCTCCGCATCTGTAACATTTTCCCTGTACTGGTTTGGGTAGTGGTCTTGGTTTCATTTTACCATAGTTCGTTTTCTTTGTTTTATTCACAGAAAGTTTATTTACACTTTCACGTTTTCCCTGTAATTCTAGTGCGTCGCGACTAGCCGTTTCCATGGCGACAGCTGTCTGAATAGCTTTTTCTAAATCCAACTGCGATTCGGCAAGCAGTCGTTTCTGGATGTGTTCCTGCTTTAAACCACATACAAATCTGTCTCTCAAAGTCTTACTCAACGAATCCCCGAAATTACAGTGTATCGCTAAACGACGTAATTCTGCCATGTAAACTGTCACGCTCTCCCCTGCAGCCTGATCTCGTTTATGAAAACGAAAACGTTCAGCAATTTCTGAGGGTTTTGGGCTTAAATGTGCTGTAAGTTTCTGAATGAGTTCGGCAAATGTCATTGTAGAGGGCTTTGTGGGTGCACATAAATTTTTCAACAATGTGTAGTATTTGGGCCCGATGATAGAAAGAAGTGAGGGTACCTTCAGATCCTCGTTCACATCGTTTGCAATAAAATACTGGCCCAGACGTTCTGTATACGACTCCCACGTTTCCAACGATTCGTCGTAAGGTCCCACCTTTCCGATGATCAATGCCATGGCTTATTGATGCTTCCGTTTTTAATCCTCGTCGCCAATTTGTTGGATAGTGATGCAGAGCACATGTAACACACAAGATGGCTGAATCCGAACTACTTTATTGAATTATTGCGCAATGTAATTAAGCATCAAATTATAAGCAAAAACCAATTACGTAAGATATTACAAATCCGGAAAAAAAGATATAACAATATCATGAAGTGTTTTATAAAGCAGTATGTATTTATGAAAATCTATTAATTCATATATAGTCAGCCAACCAAGTTTCACAAATAATGGTTGTGATGGAGCATCTGGTGCCACATCTAATATAATTCTTGCTGCTCTTTTTTGTAATTTAAAAACTCTTTCTATGCCAGCACCTGGAGCATTGCCCCATACAGTTAAGCAATAATTTAAAGATTGCAGAATGTATGCTGTTGTGAGATGTGTATTGTTTCATTATGTATATAATTATGACATTAAGTTTCTTGAACGTTCCAGAGTGGTTAACATGTTCGGTCATTTTATCTAGAACATTCTTAAATTTTGTGTATGTCCAGATTGTTCCAGTAATATCATGTTTTAACAATTTCTAGAATATTCTAGATTTATATTACTGTATAAATACCCTGTCAATTCGATGCATAGAGATACTTTGTCGTATAAGCACCATTGAGATACAACTGGGATATATTTTCACTGGGACATTGTGTGCAGCAACGGACACTCTGATGTATGTATTTTTAGATTCTTGCTAAGTTTGTACTTTATGTTTTATATACTTATTATATATTACTGTAAATAAATTATTGTTAAGTTTAAATTATGTTATTGATCTTTGCTGGCATTTAGGGATATTCTGACCCATAACAGAATTGGGGGCTCGTCCGGGATAAAGAATTTCTTGCACTTTTGCAGTTTATTGAACCGTTAAATTTAATTATAAGCCAGCAGAAATCAACATGGTGTTTTCGGTCACAGACTTTCTTAGTTCACCAAGTGTTCAGGTTTTTGATACGTTAAAAAAGGATGACTTGATCGCATTAGGTTTGCATTTTGGGTTAGATGTTAAATCCTCTCAGAGAAAGCAAGACATTAGAATTAAGGTTGCAAAAAAACTAGTAGAAGAAAACGTCTTTGAAAAATACGATCTTCCAGAATATACAGTTAAATCAGAGTTAGAATCTTATAAAATGTCAGAATTTCAGTATCAAGTAGAGTTAGAGAAAGTGCGATTTGAACGAGAAAAATTAGATAGAGAAGAGCCAGAAAGAGAAAGGGAAGAACGAGAGCGTGAACGGAAATTTGAATTAGACAAATTAGCAGCAGAAAGAGAAGAGCGAGAAAAAGAGCGTGAAATGAACTTTGAGTTAGAGAAATTAAAATTACAGCACAAACCACAACCGTCATTTGTCAAGAATGAATTCGACGCAGCAAAAAATATTAGGTTAGTTCCAAAATTTCAGGAAAAATCTGTAGACATTATTTTCCCCAATTCGAAAAAGTCGCAGAGAATCTTAAATGGCCACGAAATGTTTGGTCAACGATGTTACAAAGTGTACTGGTTGGCAAAGCAGCTGAGGTATACTCTGCACTAGGGGTAGCTGAGAGTTTAGACTATGAGAAGGTCAAAGCAGCAATATTAAAAGCATACGAATTGGTACCCGAAGCATATAGACAAAAGTTTAGAAAGTATAGGAAGTTTGATAATCAAACATTTGTTGAATTTTCACAAGAGAAAGAAGATTTATTCGATCACTGGTTTAGATCTAAGAAACTTGATAAAAATTTTGCTAATTTGCGCCAAGTCATCCTGGTAGAAGAGTTTAAGGAATGTGTTCCTTAAGATTTGAAAACACATTTAGAAGATAAGAATGTGAAAACTCTTGAAGATGCAGCAGTCATATCTGATACTTATGCTCTGTCTCATAAAAAGAATTTTGTATCAAGAGCTCAGACTAGCAGTAGTTCTACCAATTCAGACACATATAAAAAGAGTGGTTCAGGGTCTCAGTCTTTCACAAGTTCCCAGTTTCCATCCCAAGGTGGTTTTAAGTCCGGTCCAGGACGTGTTGAAGGATCGTCTGGAATAGGGTCGCTTCCTACTTGTAGTTATTGTAAGAAAAAGGGTCATCTGATCAGTGAATGCTTTAAACTTAAGAGAAAAAATGATTTTGATAAAACTCAACCACATGCTTGTGCGGCAGTTAGAGGTGATAGAGAAGCCTTAGTTTCGATTTGTTCTGACACTCCTGATGTCCAGGGTTCACAGTCCAGTTCTATTGATTCTATGGAGGATTATAAGCCCTTTATGTCTCAGGGATTTGTTTCACTCGGTGACTCTAGCGAAATAAAACCTGTCCAGATTTTGAGAGATACTGGTGCTGCACAGACGTTATTGTTAGAGGGCGTGCTTCCTTTGTCTGAGCAGACTTCTACTGGTGGGTCAGTTTTATTACAGGGTGTGGAGCTAGGCGTCATTGATGTTCCCCTGCATAGAATTAGTTTGAAGTCAGATTTAGTTACTGGACTTGTTATCGTAGGTGTTCGACCTACTCTTCCCGTTCCAGGCATTTCTTTGTTGTTAGGCAACGATTTAGCCGGTGGGAAGGTTGTACCTGATCCTATAGTTTGTGAGAAAATCACTTCCAATGTCATGTGCGATGATGAAGATGATGACATTTATCCAGCCTGTGCTGTTACTAGAGCGATGGCCAGAAGACGAGAAATGGAGGCAGACCATACTCAAGCCTTTGACGAGACGAATTCCTCTGTTGATATTGATTTGAATGACACTTTCTTATCTGACCTTAATGGCATTCAAACAAACATGGAACCACACTATATCAAGAAGCAAGAGAAGAAAGAACTGTTACCAAAATTTGGTGGTGAGGAAGATGAGTCAAATCTACCAGAAAGCCAAGACAAGGACATCATAAGCCGAGAGCAGTTACTTTCAGCACAACATAAAGACCTAGATATCATCCAACTAAGAAAGAGGGCATTACCACCAGAAGAGGCCACTAAAATTGGAGAATGCTTCTATATGAAAGATGGCATCCTTATGCGAAAATGGCGACCACCTGACGCTTCCTCAGATGAAGTGTGGCGTGTTGTTTACCAGATAGTGGTCCCAGCGGCTTATCGTCGAGATGTCATGAGTTTAGCTCAAGATACACCTATGGCAGGTCACTTAGGTGTCAATAAGACATATAATAGAATTTTGAGTCATTTTTATTGGCCTAAGCTAAGAAAGGATGTTTCGAAGTTTTGCAAGTCATGCCATGTCTGTCAGATGGTAGGTAAACCAAATCAGAAGATACCATCTGCTCCTCTCCAACCAATTCCAGCTTTTGGAGAACCGTTTAGTCGAGTGTTGGTGGATTGTGTAGGACCTTTGCCTAGGACCAGATCTGGAAACCAGTATTTACTTACCATTATGTGTACATCTACTCGATTTCCTGAAGCCATACCTCTTAGGAATATAAAGGCAAAGAGCATAGTTAAGGCCCTAACCAAGTTTTTCAGTTTTGTAGGAGCACCCAAGGCAATTCAGTCGGATCAAGGCTCAAATTTTATGTCGGGGTTGTTCCATGCAGCAAGTCATGCATGAGTTGGGTATAAGGCAATATAGATCAACTGCTTATCATCCTGAGTCCCAGGGAGCGCTAGAACGTTTTCATCAAACCTTAAAAACAATGTTGAAGACCTATTGTTACCAGTATGAAAAAGAATGGGACGAAGGGGTTCATCTTGTGCTATTTGCTGCACGAGAAGCAGTCCAGGAGTCTCTTGGGTTCAGTCCTTTTGAATTGGTGTTCGGTCATACAGTTAGAGGTCCTTTGAAATTGTTGAAGGAAAAGTGGCTGACTGAGACTAGTGATCTTAATCTTTTAGATTATGTGTCTGACAAAGATGCCAGAAATAGGGTGTTTAAGCCAGGTGATAAGGTTCTTGTATTTTTACCTATTCCTGGTCATCCTTTACAGGCCAGATTTTATGGCCCTTATGAAATTGAAAGCAAGATCAGTGATGTAAACTATGTAGTTAAGACACCAGGTCGACGTAAAGAGAAACGGGTTTGTCACATTAACATGTTAAAAGAGTATTTTGAAAGGTGTGACCGAAATTCTGTAAAACCAGTTTCCACTTTAGCCAATGCTAAGACTGTTCAAAATTGTATTGAAAGTGATACGAGTGTAGAAATGAATGAGAAAGATTGTAATCAGAGTGTCCGCTTGAAAAACTCAGAAGTTTTGGCTGATTTGGATGAAAAACTTGGGCATTTGAACACTCACCAAAAAGAAGAAGTTCAAAACTTGATGAATGAGTATCATCAAATCTTTTCAGATGTTCCAAGGAAAACTAATGCAGCTTGTCATGATGTTATAGTTGGCGACGCTCTGCCTATCAAACAACATCCGTACCGTCTCAATCCAATAAAATTGCAGTACCTAAGAAGGGAAGTGCAGTACATGTTGGACAATGACATTGTTGAATCTAGTAAAAGTGATTGGAGCTCACCGTGTATTCTTGTACCAAAACAGGACGGTTCGTACCGATCATGTACAGACTTTAGAAAGGTGAATTCTGTTACCAAAACTGATTCATATCCAATACCTAGAATCGATGACTGTATTGACAACATTGGAAATGCGAAATTTGTCAGTAAATTTGACCTGTTGAAAGGCTACTGGCAAGTACCGTTAACAGAAAGAGCAAAAGAAATATCTGCTTTTGCTACACCAGATGGACTTGACCAGTATAAAGTAATGCCTTTTGGCATGAAAAACGCACCGGCTACATTCCAAAGGATGATTCACTCCCTTCTCCATGATCTTGAGGGATGCGAGGCCTACATTGATGATGTCGTCATATACAGCAACACATGGGACGAACATCTCCGAATCATGCGTGCTTTATTTGACATTTTAGCTAAAGCAAATTTAACTGTGAACCTGGAAAAGAGTGAATTTTGTCATGCTTATGTAGAGTATTTAGGTCATAAAGTAGGTCAA